GGAGAGGGCTGAGACACCAAAAATAAAATTTGGGCACGGGTCAAGAAGGGAGTGGGCACCGAAAAGACCCCCTGGACCAAGTAGGTTGGGGGCGCCCGGCTTAAGGTCACGGTTCCGTCCGGAGTAAGGAGCTCACTTTGGGGCTCCGGAAAAGGTGAGAGAAACCACAAGCCCAGGAATTTCAGGCAGCTCCTGGGTAAGATACCAAATCTAAGGCATATCTTGTTTGTGTTGTAATGTGTGTTTTCTTACTCTCTGTCCAACGCTGTCGCTTCACCCGTCCTACCCTCTTCCAGTTCCGCCTGGCCTCCCCCGTTCTGATCCATGGTCAGGTCACTTCCTTCTCTGCTAACTCCTTCCCAGCTCGCCGGGACCCGACCTCACATTTTGCTGTTGTTAACCCTCACCCGAGGGTATTTTTTCCATTGATTTTTAGAGAGAGTGGAAGGGAGGGAGGGGGAGAGAGAGAAACATCTGATGTACATAGATTGGTTGCCTCCTGCACACACCCTACCAGGATGGAACCTGCAACCCAGGTACGTGCCCTTGATGGGGAATCAAACCTGCGACCCTTCGGTGCGCAGCCCGGCTCTCTAACCATTGAGCACACCGGCCAGGGCTAGACCTCATATTTTCTCAGCCTCTTTCCCTTGGGTTTAGCTAAAAATCTGGAGAACCCTACCTGGTTTGGCTCAGTGGATAGAGCGTTGGCCAGTGGACTGAAGGGTCCCAGGTTTGATTCTGGTCAAGGGCACATGCCCAGGTTTCGGGCTCAATCCCCAGTAGGGGGCGTGCAGGAGGCAGCCAGTCAATGATTCTCTTTCATCATTGATGTTTCTATTTCTCTCTCCCTCTCCCTTCCTCTCTGAAATCAATAAAAATATATCAAAAAGGAAAAAGAAAACGTATAAATAAATAAACGTCTGGAGGGAGAACGGCCCAAGGTCAGTTGGAGCACACATGGAAAGGGCCTTATTTACTAGTAATTCTAACTACCAAGTCTGCCCTTAAGTTGCAGGGAATAATGCCTTGGATCCATCGCATCAGGGTCAAACAGGCGACGGGCCCAGAACCTGAGGCTACCCAGAACGCACGCTACTCCTGCGAGTGAGCCTGTATCAGACCTCAAGCCGCTGTTCCGCAGGAATACCAACCAGGATACTAACCCCTTCTGCCTCACCATCGGGCTCCAGCCCTAAGACTTCAGCACTTCCTTGTGCTGTACCTGAAAGAGAGAATCCCATCGGTTGCTATGGTGCAGTTATCTGCTGAGACATACGTGGAGTTCTTAGGGCTCCTCCTCCTCCTGTCCTGTTTCCCACCAGCCAGTTTTGCTCTCCTGCCTTGGGAGAGCAGTAGTTTGGTTAACATCCCCCAAATAGCTGCAGAAGGAAAAATAAAACATTGCTGGGTATGTCATCAACATCCCCAGACATCCCCTTCTCAGCCAGGAGCTCCAGGTAACCCCAATCTCAATCTGACCTCTGTCCCATAGGCTCCACCCTGCCCACCCACATCTGTCCGATTAGACTAAGACCCGTGTTTGATGTGTAAACCTTACAGGTCAGGGGCCCTAGGCTAGCCTTTCCTTAAATTGCCCAAGGAAGGCCTGCCCCCTGGACCCCTTGCACACCATCCACCAGCGGTGGACCTTGACTGCCACCAGACTGGGTATGCCCCATGGCTGGCACAGTCTCCTATATATCCAAAACAATTTTCCAGCCCATCGGTGTGGCTTAGAGTGTTGACCTATGAACCAGGAGGTCATGGTTCGATTCCCGGTCAGGGCACATGTCCTGGCTTCGAACTTAGCCCCCAGTAGGAGACAGCTGATCAATGATTCTCATCATTGATGATTCTATCTCTCCCTCTCCCTCTCTGAAATATATACATACATAAATAAATAAATAAATATATATATATATGAAGATTATCAAGGGAAAGGGTTCACGTTCAGCCAAAAGAAGCTATAAATGGCTGACCTTCGTCCCTCAGCACCCCTCAAGAATGAGTGAAAATAAGAAAGAGGAAAATCAGCTATCCCACAAAACATCTATTTAACCTAGCTGAGCCCCTACCCCACCCTAACTCTATGCTTATCTTTGAGAACAGGAAGGCCTGCAGTTAATAGTTCCTTGGCAAGAATGAACTAGTTAAATTGAGCTCAATTGGGGGGACACACTGTATAGTGTAAGATTGTTTAACCACGATGCTGTAAACCTGAAACTGTTATGCCCAGAGTTCGGGGTCCCCGATAATCCACCACCAGGGAGCCTTTTCCGATGCAAAAGCAA